GCGGGTGAAATGGACACTCAGTCCCTGATGTTTTGATTCCTGAGCTTTAAGTGTAGTGAATTTCAAAACTGTCTGTGTCTTACACATGTGCGTGTCTTTGAGCAGAGGCCCTCTCCCCGCCTGTCCAAGAGAAGTGCCTACAAACCACTGGGGAGGTGGAATGGCACGTTCCTCCAGGGCAGGGTTCAGACTTGCCACAGTCCAGATGGCCAAGCTAAGGTGCTGCTTTGTGGCAAAGCCCAGACAAGGCTGTTGCCCCTGATGAAATGTTTGTCGTCTCGTCTCAGGTGTCCCCTACTCTCTATCGTCGCGGGGACCTCACCTGCCCCGTTGGAACATGGGCAGCTGGCTCTCCCACCCGGCACCACACCCTTGGTTCTAATCAAGGCTTTCTCATGGGACCTGACCCAGGACCTGTTCGTCTACCCTTATCCTGCAGCTGTGCAGGCTCTAGGAGCCCAGCGTGGTGTCCACTTACAGCAGTAGTGACCACGTCTTATACACCTGATAAAAGTTTAAGTTAAAAATGACCCTGAGTACAAGGTGGCTGGTGAGGCCCCCCCCAAAAAAAAAACTGAAGGAAAGATGAAATCAAAGGCCCACAAAGCGAGACTGAGCAGGTGTGAGCAGAGCACTGTGTGACAGAGGGCTGACGGTGAGCTTTTCAAGGCTCGTCTCTGGTTTCCCTGAGACACTTTGCATACAAGATGTGGAGGGCGAAGCGTCCTGAGTGCTGACGTCCACGACCCTGGGGCAATGCAGCCCTGGGGAGCGGGTGGCCTGCAGGGCGCCCCAAGCCAGAAGCACTTCATCTCACAATGGCCAGAGTGAGCACGCACAGGACAGTGGCCCTGTGTGTATGTGTCTAATGAGGCAAGGCCAGTTAGCAGGTTTGCTCAGAGGGACAGGTCAATGTCCTGTGGTTGTCGGAGACTTTACCATCACATCCCCAGAGACTGACATTACAGGAGAGAGAAGAACCAACCAGCAAGGATGTGGGAAGCTCTCAAGACGCATTGCTCGATGTGGCCAGTGACTGGAACAGCATTCTTTCCCACGTGTGCGGAGGACCCTAGGGCAGAGCCCTGCTGAGCCACAGAGCAGGTCCTGGGCAGGGTGTGTGGGCTCTGTACCACTGAAGAATTAAAATGGGATCGCTGACGACTATGAAATTTCCAAATATTTTAATACAAGATACTTCTGGATAACCCTTGGGTCAACAAGGAAATTCCAGGACAGGCCAGGATGGCCATGGGAATAAGGTCAGAATGTGAGCAATGGGCTGAAGCTATGGCCAGAGGAAATTCTGATTTTAAATATTCTTTTTTAAAAATAGAAAACTTGAAATTCAGCAGTTGAGAATCTTATCCCTAAAAACAATAAAGAAAGTGGAAGGGAGAGAGCAGCAGAGCTGCGTGGGAAGGCTGTGGCAGGGTGGCCCCGAGCCCGGCCCTGTGGCCCACAAGGGTAACGTCCTGCCAGGCCAGAGGCAGGCGGACCAGACCAGCAGCACAGGGTGCCTGCTCTGGTCCTGCTGCGTCCTGGGAGACCCTGACCCATCCTGACCTCACCTCTGCCACAGCCATTGGGGCCCCGGGGTGAGGGCAGGAGGCTGCTGCATTGCTGAGGGTAGGGCCACCGCTGGCTGCTTGTTCTCCTGCATGAGGAGTGCTGTTGTGCCTTCTCCCGCTGCTGCTCCCACCCTTCTTTGAAGTCAGTTGTCATGGCCCTTGGCTCCTCCTGCCTCACATCTGTCACCTGCAGGCCTTGGGCTTGGCCTGCTGCTGGCCTTCCTCTGCTGACCACATTCTGCAACACCTGCTCCCCCAGCAAAAAAACTTACCTGGGACCCGCAGACGACCGGACATCCCCTCCTTCCCAGCAGACCTCCTGCACAGCCCAGGGGCCATCAATGGAAACTGTGCCCGACGGGCACCTCCAAAGGTCTCACCCGCCTGCCCTTGCCCCTCCCACAGAGCTCCTCGGAGGTGCTGCACCTCCATACGATTGGCCCTCCCACCCCTCCCTACTGAGGTTGCTGGGGAGGGAGACTGACAGGCCATAACGCAGTGCTTTGCCAAGCAGCAGAAGAGCAGCCGGGGAGCCCTGGGTTGCCAGTCTGCCTCCTGGGGCAGGGAATGGCAGTGAGGTGGTGGCGGCTGTCACTGGTGCCTCAACCCCACCCCACCCCCAGGGTAGAAAGAGCTTGTGACCAACATCTGGCAGGAACTCGGTGGTCTTCAGTGTCTCGCTGGAGAGTCAGAGCAGCTGAGATGGTCATCACCTGCCATCAAAAACCCAACTATTCTCCAATCCCGTAAGCAAAGGCTTGTGATCAAAGGAACGGAGGTGGTGTCTGCCTTATTAACGTGAGTTTTTCTAAACAATCTGCAGACCAAGTTGTGCAGCGCTGATGGGCAGCGAGGCTGGATGAGAAGCCCCAGCTGTGGTACCAACCCATGGAGTAGGAGCTCTGCTGCCAGGGAGAAGGCAGCAGATGTGTCCAGCTGCCCCCAGGGTGGGTGTGGCTTCAGCACCCCTCCTTGTCGCCCGTCCTCCCTGTCACTGTGGCCAGCTCCCTGGCTCGGGTCTTAGGAGATGTCCTATTCTGACGAGTGGCTGCACTGGGCCTGATTAGCCAGGCTGCCCCGGGTGTACTTTGTTGATTTAATGGTTATCACTGTTGTAATAAAGTTGTCATAGGGCCTGAGGTGGTAAACCCTCATGAATCCCTCTTTAAGTTGGATTCCTAGATGTGGGATTCACCTAAAGGTCACACACACTTGTCCTGCTCTGGAGAGTGGGTGACCACATGTGGGAGAAACGTCACAGAGGGGTCCAGCCTGCCCGGCCAGGGGCTTGCATCCTGTCTGGATTTTCACCTTCAGATCTGCTACCTTGGCATTTGCTACTTCCCAGCTCAGGCTGATGTGCTTGCACGGGGCTTCCGAAGGAGGACAGGTGGAAAGCTCCACCCAGGGAGGGCTTCACACCTGGACTACATTTATTTTGCATTCTTATATTAATTTCATTTCCACACTTGACTCACCATCTTTCTTTGGATTCATCTGTTTTTGTCCTAAGATCTCATTCTGGTGACCCAGGCCCTCTTTACCACAGTGTAGCAGCTGCAGGAAGCGGCGAGAACCCAGCCCACAGGAGCAGCCTGCGAAGGCTCACAAGCCACCAGCCCCATGGTCAGCTGCATTCCTCACAAAGGGGACCTTGTTTCAAAATGGAAAATGTTTAGAAGTGTGTCTTCCTCCTCTTGATGTTGACGAGGCTTCCAGCATAGCTGACCAGTGGTCTGTCCTTCCCTCTGCCAAAGGGCTGAGGTCTGGTCCTGGGTGGCAGCCTGTAGGCAGGCTTCCCTTGGGTACCAGAGCTTCCAGGCCAAGCCCTCCCCTGCCAGCCTTCTCGCCCACTCAGAGCCCCAGAAGGAGATAGGTGAAAAGTTTCTGGAAGGATGATATATCGGGGTTGTTTTCTTGTTTTTTTTATTTTTAAGTATAGTTACTTTTCAAAATAAGGAATAACTCTGGGCATAACACTGAAGAAAGAGTTTTGAGTTTTCTTTAAGTAGATAGGTAAGTGCACTATTTGAAAGTATCATCGATAGAATAGAAAATCTTTAGGTAAGTGATTTTAAAATGGAATTTGGAGGAGAAGGATGCTCCTCTAATCCAAGCAGCTCGGGGCTAGGCAGGAGGACAGGTTCCAGGCCAGCCTGGGTGACTTAGTGAGGCTCTGGCTCAAAGTACTATTTAAGAAGGGCTGGGGATATGGCTCTGTGGTAGAGCACTCACCTAGAATGCACAAAGCCTGGGTTCTATTCCCAGTAACTCAAAATACTTCCCCCAAATTCATTTAAAAATCTTGAATAGAACCTGGGTTCTATTCCCAGTAACTCAAAATACTTCCCCCAAATTCATTAAAAAAGTCATAACAAAATTAACCAGAACTTTGATATAGTTGTTGGTCATCCAGTGAAAATTGTCTTTAAGGTCGAGGGCAAGAATGGGGGGGCATTCTGGGTAGAAGAAGCACTCTGCTCTGGGGTGGGATCGGGGGTCAGCAGGCCTGTCCTGAAGCCCACGATGGCTTCAGAGCTGGGAGTCAGGGCAGCGCGGGAGGCCCAACGTGCCGTGCTCTCCACTCTGCATGGTGCAGGTCGGCTCCCCTAACAGGACACACCCCAGCTGGCACAGGGTCCTGAGGTTGGCTGGGAAGGGGATGGATGTGTCGAAGCTGTCCATGCAGAGCCACCTCTGCAGGACACTGGCACCCACAGGCACTAGGAGCAAGCCAAGTCCTGCTCACTGGGACATGGCGCCTGACCACAGGTTTGTATTTTAGGGAATTTGAAAATCTCCCCAAAGATTTGGAGAAACACATCCTGACTATGTGGGTGAAGGGGACAGAAGCCGTCCTGGCACCACCCAGTGAGCCCCTAGCCAGGGAAGGCACAGCCAGTCATGGGAGACTGTGTGGCCCTCTGGGGCATCAGATGTGGCCTCACTGCCTTGGAACCATATGGCGGCGCCTGGCCACCGTGTGCTGGTTTCAGCTCTTAGTTCAAACCATTCCTTGTACCTGGAAAATAGTAAGTAGGGCTCTTGGGGAAATCCTGTGTATGGGAAGTTGCCTCCTGTCGTGCTCAGCTCCCAAATGGCCAATCCCAAGTGGCCAAGGAACAGCAGGACTCCACTGACTGGCTTCTCCTCGGCCCTCTGCCAGCAGGAGCATCTCCCACCTAACTGGCTGTACCTTGGTGCACCAGTGCCAGGACCCCTGTCCAGGGAAAGGGCCCTAGCACTCAATGGGGACCCCTGTCCATGGGGGGCCCCAGCACTCGATGGGGACCCCAAAATGTAGGTCAAGTTACCTTTGGAAGAAAGTTCCAGAAAAAGTGAGGCTCGAGCGTCTTCCCGAGCATGGAGGAGAGAGGACTTTGCCTGTCGTGCCATGACGGGAAATGTCCACATAGACGGTCAACAGCCTTGTACAAAATAACAAATTTTATTTCTAGAAAATATTTTACACTAGCTGTACACATGCACACACCCACACAGTACTTTACCACGCATAGAGCAATTTCTTTTTAATAAATCTACTACATACTATTATGTTACAATTTACAAGATAGTTTTGAAGACACAATGGGGAAAGCTTTGTCATTCATTTATAAACCTTCCATAAATTACAAAAGAAAGGCAGTCTGAAAAGTATGTATAAAGAGTAAAAACAATTTACAAGTGGACAAGAATTACAAAATAGTAACCATCAAATACACCTGCCAGCAACTGGGTAAGTCTTGTTGAAATGCCAATGATGGGGGGACGGGCTATTCCGGGCAGGGGGAAGGTGGCTGTTTCTGGTGTGGCCAGTGGATGGGGTGGGTGCTGTATGTGTGTGCAGCTCCCTGTCGAGGGCTTGGGTGTGGCCTTTTGACAAATAGTATAACAAAAACATGCCACAATATAACACTGGAAGCCAATATCGCCACTTTCTGGCAGGTCGGACAATAGTGCTTTTCCAGACAGAGGTGCTTTCCCGCCCTGGCTCTGGGGTGCCTGGCTCTGGGGTGCCTGGCTCTGGGATGCCTGCTGGGTGGGCGTTGTGTTCTCGGGCTTGCCCGGAAAGCCTGGGACAGGACCTGAAGCTACACAGCTGTGGGGCTGGCCATCAGGCCGGGGTGGGGGTGCAGACCAGGAACGACAACACAGACCAGTAGACACTGCGGTTTTATTGGACATACAGACCATGTGCGTTCATAAGGCAGAACATCAAGGCGAGTCAGACGAGGAAAGTGACAGTTATGGTTATGAGGAAAGCGCTTTGGACGGGAGGAGAGTTGGACCTCGTTCCTCTAAGGATAGATGACAAATGCACAGAGCTGGGTTACAGGTGGGCAGCGGGCGGCCCAGGGCCCCGCTTGGCAGCAGGACACCAGCCCTGGGAAAGGGGGCGACAGCCCCTCTGCTCCCGCAGTGGCTTAGGGTGGTGGTGGTGCAAGAGCATTTCTCTACTGGTGTCGGGAGAAGATTGTGTTTTAGGAAGTGCTTGAGTCGTGAGAACCCTAGTTTGGAATCAAAGAGAATCACAGGGACTCGGCGGCTGTCCACAGCACAGGGGTCATTTCACCGCGCCCAGCCTCGCCAGCAGCGTCTTGCCTTTGGAGAGAAGCCCCCTTTTCTTTCTTGAGGACATTTCCCTGCCTTTCCCGGGACCACCAGAACCCATAGATGACGTAGGTGACCCCGTATGGAGATGGGCTGTGGGGGATGGAGCTCTCCTTGCTGGCCCTGAACCCTCAGGAGGAACCTAGTAGGTATATTGTAACAGTTTGAGTGTGTGAGCGCCAACAATAGCCATTCACTCGGTACCGCGCGCCGCCCCGGCTCCCACGCTGCCTTCAGTCTGCATGTGCAATGAGTGGCACACGCCCGCTCCCAGGGCACCCTAACAGGTCTGGCGTGGTTAGCCTCCCGTGTCTGCACTAGGAGAGGGTGGCCACCGCTTTGGTAAACAAAGCTGGGTCACATTGACCGAATTCAGACTAAAAGCAGGGAAGTGCTTTAAATGAGATTGATAGCAAAGTTGGCCAAGTACCCATCAGTCGTCTTAAAAGCAAAAGTTCTTACAGGCAGTTTGGGTGCATTTGGAAACTACTTGGTTATATAAAACCCTGATGCTGTTGAGTGCGTTCTTGGATTAGTTAGGATACTGTAGAAACATTGGAGATGGCACACTGGTTGAAAGGAAAAAAACTAAAATGAACCTTAATTACAATCAAAGAAAGCTTAAAGGCCCTTATTTATGCTTCTGTTGTTCGCACATAATTGCACGTCTGTCACCGGCATATGGCCTGTGGAGTGTTTCCATAGACTCCAGGTGCTTATCAACCATGCTTAGGAGGGCAGGGCTTTGTTTCAATGTGCCAGGTGGCAACTTTGACTTGTGACTTTCTGCGGCTGGGTGCATGCCTGGGATTACATGACTCCTTCCCCAACCTCTCCAGAGCAGACCCCACTAAGTGGGCCTCACTGTGCAGCAGGAAAAGGACAGGAGCCAAGGGCTTCAAGCTTGCTTGGATTCAGAATCAAGGTCTAGCCCTCGTGGAAACACCTAGGGATGCATCCCAAAGCACACCTGAAGTTGCGTCTCCTGCCCCCAGTGCAACCCTCGGAGCTGCACGTCCCTGGAACGTGGTATTGCATTGGTACCCAGGCCTGGCTGCGTCCGTGCCGACGCTTGCTCCTCAGTGGAGGTGTGGTCTCTGGCACTCAGGCCGGAGCCCGCAGCACCCCTGTGTTCACCACTCATCTACTTGATCTTGAACTAGAGGTGTTTGTTTTTGGTTTTATTTTTAGGAAAAATCCTATGGTAAACGTACTAGGTAGCTTGTGCTTTTTCCAAGGGTGGCTAACAATGCAATATGCAGCTTTGAGGAAGAGCAGACGTTGGAATTCTATGTAAACAGACAACTGGCTTGTAAGAAATATGTTCCCAATGTCGGCCTTTCAAATGCTCTTAATGAAAATAGCAGGAAATTATCATTAAAGCTGATTGGTTTCACTACAAATTCAGTTGTTTACAACTGAGGCCGAGGGATGTGCTAGCACTTTAGGTCCAGTGTTTTTTGAGACATATTTCTTTCCTCTCTAGGCCACAGTGAAGCTTAAGTCTACCGCACTGGTCCGTTAGGTAGCTTAAGTCGGCATCTCGCTAGGTGTCTCCGGCTGCTCACTTACGTGAAGGCTACATGCCTGATTAGGGTGTGAAATGAACGCTCTTCTTCGGTGTCCAAGCAGATGACAAAGAAATAAAGATATAGACGTAAAATATGACAGATAAGAACTCGCGGTGATGGCGTAAAGTAAAGATGAGACACTAAATGTGAATGCGGCCTCTGAGCGGATGTGCTGCAGTGGCCTCTGACCCTCCCTAGGAGGCCTGGGCTCCTGACCAGGGCGGGCAACCGTCCCTGTCCCGGCCTCACTCCAGCAACTGAAATGTGCACCTGTTGTGTCGGGCAGGGTCGTCCTGGGGTCAAGGTTGACCCTTGGGAACTTCAGGGGTCTTTTGTGTGAAATAAGGTTTAAGATCAAGCACTGGTAGGCCTGACCCCATGGAGGGGCAGAGAGGAAGGCATTCAGGGCGTGTGCTTTTGGCCCAAGATGCAGAAACATGAATGATCATCCGCACATGGCAGGGGCAGGACCCTAGAGGCTGGGGGAGGGGGTGCTTACCCTTTTGGCCTTGGAGCGCGGGGGTGCGTCTTGAGAGTAGGGGGACGGGGCGTCGGAGAGGTAGACTTCCACGTCCTCAGGCACTTCCTCCAGGAAGTTGGAAGGCACCAGGCCTTTCAGCCCATTGAGCTCCCCCTGGAAGCAGAGGCGGGGAGGTCAGAAGAACCACCTCACCCCCAGACCCCCTTCTTACTCTCATGAGGGGAGCACGGCCCACAGGACAGCAAGATGGGTTCATCCTTGTCAATAGTGGCCTCTCCCAGGGACAGCCTTAGCAAGAGCTCAATGCAGGGTCATCTTCCAGAGAGGTCTGGAGGAGCGGGCCTGAGCTGGCCCTCTGGTCTGCTCGTCTCCTTCAGTGGGTCTCCAGCCTGGCTGACCCTGGGGCCCCTTAGGAGCCTGCAGTGTCCCACAGCTCAGAAACACTGACCCAGGCTGAGGACGTGTCCCTCGGGAGCAGAGCAGGAAGAGTGAGGGCCAGGCTTACCCTCCCTCCCACAGGTGAATGTGTTCTCAGACTCAGGCCACAAGGCAGGCGGGAGTCTGCAGGCATCTCCTCAGGTGGCTGCTCCAGAGGGGCACCCGTCCTTCCAGGCCCTTCTCCTCTGACATACCTATGCATGTGTCCGGCTGCTCGCTGGACACCAGGACATAGGGCTGGGAGCCTACTTGTCACTTCTCCCAGTCCCTCCAAACACCAACCTGCCCTGCAAGTTCCGAAACCCAGTTCAGAATGGTGTGGTGGCCCCAGCACTGAGGGGACTGAGGCAGGAGGACCACTCGAGGCCAGCACGGGCAACAGAGCCAGACCCCATCTTAAAAGGATGGTCTCTACAACATGGAGCTCTGCTTCTTCACGAGACAGAAGTGGCCATGCTGTGTGGAGGTTGAAAGCTTCTGTCCATGCAAGGACACAGTTGACAGCAACAGGCCATTTGAAGGTCCAATTCTGTGCACACACTTGAACTAATGGAAGGTGTGTTTTCACACAGGTGTATACCTTTTTAAAAATCAGCTCAAGAACCAGAAAAGCAAATGAAGCCTGTACAACTACATTCCTCAAGAGACAGTGGACCTAACAGATTTTTAAGCAGAATCTAATCTTCTTCTAGTAATAGTGCTTCCAATGTCAATCTATTTCAGAGCCCAGGAAAAGAGAAAAGGGAAACTCTTTAACTCAATCAGTAACTCTAGAATAATCCTGAAAATAAAGGCCACAGCAGAGGGAGCACAGACATAACTTGTGAAGAAAATGCCAGAAGATCAAATCCAATGCTTTAAAAATAACCATATACCCCTAGGTGACCATGGGCTCTTCAGGGAGGAGGTGAACCCTACCCCTAGGAGCCCTTCCCTTCTCTCCCTGGGGGAATATTAGAGAAATAACCACAGGGGCAGGAAAGGAAGGCACCCAGCATGTGAGGTGGGTAGGGGGGGCGGGTCGTGAGAGGTCCTGTGGATCTGGACTGCCCACAGGTCAGCTGCAGGGCAGGTGGGGAGCGCTAAGACCTCGGGGATCTTATCCACCTATTGAGTTCTGCTTATTGGTTTCTTACTTTCTCTGTAAGATTAATTTACCACCTACAAATAAATAGTCTAGAAAACTAAATTATTATGTAAATGTTTGGATGGTGACAATTTTAAGATGTCAGAAAATAGAATGTTTTTATTTTGTCTACGTTTAGATACATGGAAAATACCATTATTAGCTAACAAGAAGCAGTGAAGAACCAGCTTTTCTGTTATGTGCAAGTGGGGCAGGCTCTCCACCTCCTAGTAACACTAACATATGCGTCTTGCCTGAGAGTGATGAGAGAAAGGGAAGACAGGCTGTAAGAGGCACAAAGTGAATGAGGAGGTGCTTCTTTTAAAGTTGTAGATGGACAAGATCTTTCTTTTTTTATGCAGTGCTGAGAATTGAACCCAGGGCCTCACATGTGCTAGACAAACGCTCTACCACTGAGCCACAACCCCGGCCCAGAGGTGGTGCTTCTTGATTAGAAACACTTACATAATAAAATCCATCTTCATCGATTTCACCAAAAACAGTGATAATATCTCCCGTGCAAAACGTAAGTTCAGCCTACAGAGAGAACATAAAATGCACAGCATCTTGTTACAGGAAGTTGCTTTTGAAAACAAGTGGCTCGTATTACCGAGAACCATCCTTCAATCACACAAGGAAGCCAAGTACAAAGCTAATGGAGGCTCCTGCTCAGTCTTCTAGAAAGTTCTACACCTCAGGATGATGTCCACCTAGAAAGAAATGTCTGCAGGGCTTTGGTTCCTGGATGACTTTCAAGAGCACTTCCTTCCCCACTGGTGATACAGCTTTAAAGCTGACCATATGGCCCTGAGGACTGATTGTGGGGGCACTCCTGTGAGCAAGGGTGGCCACACAGACACTTCGCTGAGCATCAAGACTCCTGCTCCATGACGGATGGAACTCAGTGCCTGTGTGCATCAGCCCAGAGACAAACATGCTGGTCACAGGCCCCTGTCCTTAGGAATCAACCGTCTCACATGTTCAGACCCCAGAAATGGGGACCAGAGGGACAAGCCCAGTAGGGGATACCAAAAATGAGTAAATATATAAAGATTCGACTTCTAAACATGAAGGTGAGGAATCAGGCTGTGCCTGGTGTGGGGCGGGACCTGGGCCTGAGCTTCCTTGGCAGGGCAGATCCCACAGGATGTGCTTTCCCGTGGCTTGGCCTCAGCTCAATGGACACGTGCACTTTTTCTTTCTTTCCTAAAGGAAATGTACACCCTAAATTGCCATTTGGGGATGGCACAGGGGTACGTGGCCCTGGGCTGGGGTTTGTCAAGCAGAGCAGCCCCCTTCACTCCAGCACCTCCAGCGAATGCCAGGAGCCGCTGTGCCCCCAGGCCCACTCGGGCCAGGCGTCCTGCTGCACTCACACCTGTGAGGAAGCGCGGTGCACACACCTGACACCCTGACAGAGGAGTTCTGTGGCGTCCATCACTGTGAATGTGGCTCTTAACAGGGGCACACAGCAGGGCTGTGCCAGGTGGGTGGAGCCACACACTGGCTTTTACCCTGCACTGGGCACAGCACTGTGAAACACGGGCACTGATTACCCCCCGGAATTCCCTGTGGACCACAGTTGAGCATGAGCGAAGGGGTCTGCTGTAACCTGGGGCTGCTAGGGTCAGGAAGGACTATGGTGGCTATGGAGGACGACAGTGTCCTGGGGGTCTTGTGCGTCTATGGGGGCGACTGTAGTTATAGGGGCTATTATGGTTATGGGGCCTACTGTGGTTATAGGGGCTATGGTGACTATAAGGGCTACTGTGGCTATGGAGTTTGCAGAGGCTAGGGGACTAGAGTGGCCTTGTAAACTGCTGTGGCTATGGGGCAACTGTGCTTAGTGGACTACCATGGCTATGGGGACTACCATGCTATGGGGTCTGCTGTGGCTATGACAGCTATAGTAGCCTTGTAGCCTTGCAAGTTACTGTGGCCTTGTGGACTACTTGGCCATGGGGTCTGCTGTGGCTCTGAGGCCACTGTGGTTATTGAGTTACTGATGCTACGGGGGCTGCTGTGGCTAGAGGGTCTGCTGTGGTTATGGGATCTACAGGGGCTCTAGTGACCTTCTGGGCTATTTGTCTACGGGGTCTGCTGTGTCCATCCAGTCTGTTGTGGCTATGGGCACTACAGTGGGTTGGGGGTGTTGTGGCTATGAATTCTGACATCTCTCATTGGGGAACCTGTGGTGATGGAGTTAGCTGATCATCTATGTTGGCTTCTGTGGTCATGGAGCTAAGGTGCCTATGGAGCTACAGTGATTATGGAGTCTGCTGCGGCTATGAGGCTTCCAGGCCTACAGGGGTCTATTGTGGCCTGCTGTGGCTCTAGAGCCTATTATGGCTATGGGACACTCTGTCTGTAGGGGCTACTGTGTCAATGGGGTCTGCCATAACTGTGGGGTTTGCTGTATGTTTTCCTTAAGAACATCGTGGCTTCTCTTGCCTGTTGTCCCTACATTTGCCCATCTGTCTTGGTTGCCCTGCCTTTGGTGGCTCTTGCAGACATGGAAGTCTGTGGTTGGTGCCCCTGTTGGAGGGGCAGGTGACCTCCTGACCCTGTGCATGGTGCTGGCCCTACCTCGACATCCACGTTGGGCGAGCTCTCACGGGGGTCATAGTCGTACAGAGCCACCACTCTTCTTGTGGACACGGGGCGCTGCCTGCTGCTTCTTCTACTTCTCTCTGCAAGCCACAGAGGAAGAAAAAACCTGTCACGATGTCACCTCAGAACACCTGCTAGCACAATGTTCCGCAGTGTCGGGAGGGCATCTTAGCAGGTGTGTCCCCACATCTCACTGGCCCATGGGACCACACCCTCTGGGGCCCAGTCCTGGCACTGTCCTCTTCAAGCAGTCCAGCATGCCACCCTTGTCCTGGACCCACTCCTTCTACTTTGGCTCTAGGGTGGGTGCTCCTGGCAGGAGCCACCTTGGGAGTGAGTCCAGTGTCATGGCCAGCTCAGGATGGGGAGGCTAAGCGGGCAGAGGGAAGGCTGGAGGCTGCTCTGGGGAAGACCCACAAGCTCAGCACAACCAAGTTAGAAGTTGGCCGTCCTCCAAGGGTGGCTTTGCCAGTGTCACTGGGCCAGTGTACATCTCGGCTCGGTTCCCTTGTCCAGCAGCATGTGGGAGAAGGGAAAAGACAGAGAGACGTCTGACATCATGACGTCACAGACCAAGTGAGTCCCTCCACAGAGCGCCTGCTAGACTGGCTCGGGGAGGATGGGGCCGTCCTGTCTCTGCCAGAGTCATGGATAAGCCGGGGAAGAAGACCACGACCCTGAGAGGGAGCCCGGGCCTCACGCTCAGCCTCAAATATTGGGGGGGCCATCTTGAGGCCATGAGTCTATTAAAAAATAAAATAGATTCAACCTTTATTGGCATTAATTTTGTGATCATCCTTAAAATTATGTATGATCTTTGGACCATTGAATTCTGATTTAGAAGTTAATTCAGAAGTTGTGAATTTTCAAACTTTAAATTCATATGGCATCAAATGGACCTTTCTCTCCACAGCTGTGTGGACCAAGTGAGGCCTTTCAAGCAGGGGAAGAGGACAGAGCATGGTGTGCTGCCCTCCCACTTGCTGGCCGTAGCCTTGCCCACTCCTCTATGCTGCTGCAGCCTGGCTCCCAGGCAGGGAGGAGGGAGGTGTGCCCAGACTGATGGGCAAGTCCCTCACAGGCCTTTGGATGAGCAAACCCAGCTGAGGATGAGAAGCCCAGGCTCCCTGTGCTTAGAAATGCACCGTGGACAGGCTGACCCTGGTGCCCCACCTAGAACAGCTGCTCCTCTGCTTCGTGGTATGACCTGTGAACACGAGCTTTCATGGGGTCCTGGGCTGCTGAGAAGAATACCACAGGCTCTGAGCTTTACAGGCATAAGACCACAGGGGGAGGGAGGGGAGCAGCCGGCAGGGTGCACTTCCTCTCCAGAGGGCCACCTGTGTGTGCACAGGTATTGGGGAGCATGTGTGTCCCTCGAACAGGCAGCACTACTGCGACCCTGGTTTGTAGAGTGGGTTCTGCCCAAGAAAAATCAGCATGATGGCCCCAAGGCCTGGGCACGTCCAGTGGTGCGTGGCTGCCCCTAGCCTGAGGCCATACAGGGCCACGCTCACCTATTTTCTCCACGGGCGTGCTCAGGGGCAGGAAGCCTTGTCTTAGCAGCTGGTCAGTCATCTCCTCGTCATCAGCTTGGATCTCGGAGACCATGTTGCAGGGAATGAGGCCGAGCCGGGCGCAGGTCTCCCCGCGGTAGAAGCCATCTGCGTCTTTGTCTCCGTAGACCTGGAGCGTGGAGAGGCAGAGCACCGTGGGGGTGGCCCAGAAACACCCCAGCCCCCGCACCACGTCACCTATGCCGACCCCACACACACGCTGGACCCCAGACACAGTGTCCCCTCCAGGGAGTGAGTCAGGTTTGGACAGCGCCTAAGCCCCCCGGGGGAGTGTGCACTGGAGGCCCTCTGCGTGGAAGGACCAGGGAGGGGTGCAGCCAGGCGCCAGGCCTTCCAACCACCTTCTGAGGTGGGTAAGCAGGGCCCTCCCCACCCACTGGTCCTGCAGATCCACACTGCTCCCCTCCTCTTCTCTAGAACGGGAGTGGGAATGGCACACCCTGCGTCTGTGTGCTGGGGCGGGTCCTCTGCCTGCCTCAGCCTCCTCCCCCTCCCTCCCACTGCTCTGCCCGTGGGTTAGGCCTTGTGTACTGCAAAGTCCCAAACTTTGGGCCTGTGGTTTGTTTCTCAGCTGCCCTGGGCTGAGGATCTATAGCTCAGGCACCGGAGGCTGGTGTGTGTGGGAACCACCAGTAGCAGGCGCTGGTGAGTGCTTCATGTTGTTTTGACTCTATTGATCAGTCTAATAAAAGACCCAGTGATACTTTTATTCTGGTTTCGAGTGTCATCTAAACTAAATGTGGGCTCAGACTAGCCCCCAGCAGGCAGGCAGCCTGGAAAACCCCACGTGCACCAGCACATGCACTCCTCCAAGGCAACTAGTGGGGCCGTCCCCTCTGCCCAGGTGAAGCAGACAGGGCCTGCCCAATGTGCAAGGCTGCCACAGGCCGGCCAGCCTTCCAGTGGCCCCAAAGAGTCCAAAGGCCACTGCCCAGGTCTGGTCAGCTCATGGCTGGCTCTGGGCCACGCCCACCTCAGCAGCACCCAACTGTGCAGCCAGCAGACTCCCCACCTTGATGATCTGTCCTTCCTTGAAGGGAAGTTCCTCCTCTGCAGCGTCAGGGTTCGGGGACATGGTGAGTGGGTCATAGTCAAACAGAGCCACAAAGATGCGGGCTGGGGGCTCCTCGGCTCCAGGGTCCGTCTCCGACTCCTCGTAGAAGTCTGGAGAGAGGCGGTCGCGCCCGGCATACTCATCTGGGGGCATGTGGGGGTAAAGCAGAGGCCGGTGACCACTCTGCAACTCGGGACACGACCACACGTGATGTGGGGCTCAGCCAGGGTGGGGTGGCCAGGCCCTGGCTCCTGTCCTTTGAAAAACATTCTGGGCTCCACATGGAGGCAGCAAGGGACCTGGGGACGTCCAGAGGCATGGCAGAGGCGGTGGCTCTACCACACAGCCTCACTGTGGCCAGCACACTGGTGTGGAAGCAGTGAGATCAAGGGGCCACCTGGGTGGCTCCACCGGAGAGGACGGCCAGAGCGGGTGGGTGGTCACGTGTGCGTCAGTGGCGAACCCTGCGGGGCAGCATGCTCCACGGGCCATGAGGCTAGTGCACAGAGCTTACAACACATCCAGAGCTTCGTCAGAGCTTGGTGTGGGGAGCCCAGCTGCTCACTTCACTGAGTGGACAGCGGGCAGCAAGTGCATTCCTTGTTGTGTCGGGGCGATTCCCCAGCCCAACGGGGTTCAGCTCTGCCCCCCTCCCAGCTTTTAAACTCAATCCTTTCTGAAGCATTACTGGGTATGCATATGTCTCACTAGAGGTCACTGGGTATGCAGGTATCCACTCGTGTCTGCAGGGAACTGGCCCCAGGACCGTCCTGTGACATGGAAGTCCACTCAGGTCCCCATCAGCAGAGGCTGTGCTTGCACATAACCTATGCACATCCTGGATACCCAAGTCACTGCCAGATGAGCATCGGTACTGGACACAGACAGACGGGGTTAGAGATGGACAGTCAGACAGGGAGACAAGGCACTGAGGGCCAGCGCTGTCCTGAGCACGATCTCATGAGAAGGTCTCAGAACATCAGCAGGAGAACAAATCAGACACCGAGATCAGCCTCCAGGAAGGAGGGCTGGGAAAAGCTGGCCGACTGCTGTCCCCAGCACATGACAAGGGAAGTGTGACTGGAGGACCCAGGTGTGCAGAAAGGACAAGACAGGTGACAGGGAGATGACCAAGTGAGCTGGCTTCTTCACCAGCAAAAAAATCTAGTTTAAAATTTGCATGGGCTGAGGCTGCAGGAGCCTGGACTTCAAATGCAGTGGGCATCCTGACTCACATGAGGGGCCTTTTAGGGTCCCCAAATCATCTATTTTTTGTCATTGTTTTTGTTTAGTTGTTTTGTTCTCTGTCATCTTTTAAACATCCACCGGGCGTTGTGGAGAGCCTCATCAGATGGCTCAGGATGCTTAGGTGTGGAGTCAGGCAATGGTCTTGTTAAGCCACGACACACAGTGTTCATTTGTCTTAATTTGGGGAAAGGGAATTCCGAAAGCCCTGATATTATCAATCAATTGTCAATTTGTTGCCCCTTAAAAATATACTCAGGAAGCACGCAGCATACAGACCTAATGTCTTCTTTTCCTCTAAAAAAGAAAGCCCATAGCCTTGGACTAAAGATTTCTGTAGTATTTTCACAAGAACTGAGCAATCAAGGGTTGAAGGAAGTATGGTGGGCCCCTCGCCCTGGGGCCACTGTCTGACCCCCATGCAGGTAAGGACCCCATTTGCCTGCTTCCTCTGGCCCTTGTGCCCTCGAACCTGTATGTATGGAGGCCATCAAGCAGGAGATAAGAGAGCGGGGATGGACCAGTGGGGAAGGGTGGTGGCCTAGGGAGGTGGGAGCACACCTGGGGTCACACTTGGCCTCTTATCCCCAAGCTTATGCCCGCTGCTGGCGCATCTTATGCACCCAGACATCTCTGCCACTGCAGGTGTGTGGGGTGCACCACCTCCCCAGCTCTGCCTCTGTCTCAGCCTTGTCCCTGAGTGTCCTGAGAGCCGCTGCCCTCAGTCCCTCCAAGGCCACCTGGAAAGCCCGCAGGAGACTGTCAGCAGGGAGAGGCTAGTGTAACCCCGAGGCTGGCGGGAGCTCTGAGAATGTGCAGAGGGTTTGCTGCCCTCGTGCGCCATGCCTACCTCCCTTTGCCATGGATGACCAAGAGTTCTCTGTGTTTGGTTAAAAATGTCCCCCTGAATATTATGTGAAATGTTCATATAGGAGACCCAGTAGGTGCATGTGGTGGGGAGAGGGAGGGACAGAGAGACAGCCATCAAACCACTAACCAATAGATGGGACCACCGTCGGCCGGGGCCTCTGAGGACCAGTGCCACCGTGGGAAAACCTCCTGCCCACATGATCTGCCCTGTCCACACGTCCGGCAGATGCTGGGTTTCCTAGAATCTGGAGACAAAACAACAAGGCTGTCAGTCTTGCCAGTGTGGCAGGGGGAAAGCGATCAGCCAAATCAATCAAATCCGAAGCAGAAGCTCTAAAGGCAACTAAACTTAGCTTTTAACTGAAAGGTTAGCTGAAGGCCCAGGAGGAAACAGGCTGGCCGCCAGGCCCCTCCCCTGCACCAGAGTCACATCTGAAGCACCACAGTGGGTGGGGCAAAATGAGCCCTGGGCAGGGTCCGTTGCTCTACTGCCGCTGAAGCCACGTGTTTCGGACCTAATGACAGTGGCTTTCAGGACACTGACGCCTTCCACCATGAGCAGCCTCGGCTGCCTCTGCACACCTGCCCCAGGCTGCCACACAAGAAGGAAAGCTCTGCGGTTCCAAACGTCCCACCTGGGTAGACGTCGCAAGTGAGGTTTCCGAAAACTCAGACGGAGGCTTCTGTGTTGGGACTGGAAACTCACGGCCAGGATTGGCCCCAGTCTGGAGAACTACGCTGCCCCGAAGAGGTGCCCTTCCCAGGGAGGCCCACCTCCAACTTGGACTAGAGTTAGAGGTGGTCGGAGGAAATCCCGCAAAGCCGAGCCCTCTGGGAAGGGCAGAGAGGCCTCTGGGGACAGGAGGAGGGGATGGTCTGCTCCTTGCTGCTGCAGCGTTGAGGGTGGGGCCCCAGCGTGGGTATCTCAGACCCAGGCCTGGCGCCATGCAGATGGCCCTCCACGCGCCCAAGGGACGTTCAGCATGACGGGAGCCAGGGCTCTGAACAGAGACGGAGGAAAGCCTTGAGTGGACTCCTAATCCAGAAGCCAACGAGCAAGGCCAGGCCCCAGGGCGGGGACGCATCCATGGCTAGTGATGGAAACTGGAGGGCTCCCGAGGAGACAAAGCAAAATAAAACTTAGAAATAATATGCAGAAATGAGTTGCTTTGATAACTGTTCTCATTTAGAAAAAACATGGATGAAGGCCAAAAAACAACTAAACCCCTCCCCCCAAAAAAGAAAAAAAAATCCTTCAGCAAAATGTGGAGCCATAAATAAGTCCCTAAAAATCATTATGGAAAAAAAAATGTGCAAACTTTTGGACATAGTTCAGCTAACCCTTAATTAAAATTTAGATTCAGTTGTCCTTTAATCACAGCCGTGATCATCTCTGATTCCAGGAAGGAATCGTTACTCTAAAGCAAAGCAAAGAAATCTTCGGCATGGTCAAGCGATCGGAAGCGATGGGACTTAATAAATCAAAGGTGCAGGGACAATCAAGGAGAGCGGCCGAGAGACCCCAGGATGGACACCCCAAATTAGAACCAAACGAAAAGCCAACGGGGAATGAACAGGATTGGTTTGGCAAGCGCACGTGGAAAGACGTTGACTTCACACACCACAGGGCCGTCGGCCACTCTGGGGGGAGGCCGTGCGTGCTGGACAGCTGCCCTGCTGTCGGGCACGGCCAGGCCACTCCTCCAGACACCCCGAGAGTCTTCGTGCTCCACGGCCTCGTCCCAGCTGTGCTGCCTGGGCACGGACCTCTCCGGGCGGGGCAGGGCATCATCGCTCCTGGCGACGTCACTGGGGTCCACCTGTTCCCCAAAGTCCTCTTCAATGCTGCTCTGCCGGGTCAGTGTCCGCCGCCGGGCCAGTAGAGGCCTCGGGCTTCTCCTACAGGGACAGTGACCTGGGCCTGGGCTGCACTGGGCTGTGGTGTTCCTGAAACTAAACCGAGACTCTTCTTCCTCACTGCCACAGTCCAGGCCGCTGTCCGGGCTTCGGGTGGCCCAGCGGCTAAGCCGGCAGCCTCTGTCTTCCAGAAGGAGGTCCTCCATGGGGGCTCTGTGCTTGGCAGGGAGCCAGGAGGCCTGCGGAGCCGAGTGCTCCCAGCAGGGTGGGATGGGCCCTGGCACCATGGCCAGCAGGGCCCTGGCCCTGGGTGCCCCTGAGCCCTGCCACAGCAGCGGCTCCCCGAGCTCTGCGTCCTCCTCGGCTACCTCAGGGATACTGCATAGCCTCTTACTGCGGTGGGGCTGCTGGGGGAACTCGGGCTGTCCCGGGCAGGCGCCTTCCGGGCTCCTGGGCTTATAGCACTCCTAAGGGCAGGGCGAGTGGCCAGCGGCAAACACGGGCAAGGCCGGAGGGAGAAAAAATACACAGTTAGTCTTGGCGAGGTGGGGCGCACGCCCGCGGGCTCTGTAGTGGAGCAGCGGTGGTGTCTATGCCCAACAAAGGCAGGGACAATGCACGGGAAAGCCAGCAGGCCATCGGGAGCAGATGCCATGCAGGTGAACCAGGAGAGAGGTGACAGCCCAGACGCGGAGGAGCAGGCAGGGTACTCTCAGCCCCTGAGCTGTGTTCTACGTGGTAGGTGCCCAGAGTGTCGGGAGACCTGTGCCCACTGCCTGCATCTGTGTCCTCAAAGACCCCAGGAAGATGCAGCAGGTGCTGAGCATGCCCAGAGGTGGATCAGTATACCCAGAGATGGCTCAGCACACCCAGAGGCAGCTTAGCGCCCCATGTGCCACAGCTCCCGGCTGCCCCCTGCCTTCCTTCCTGGCAGTTGGACCGCCCCTCCTCCCCAAAGGCAGCTCAAGCGAAAGCTTGTGAGCTCAGGCTCCTGGGGGCTTACACCCTCTCTGTGGCTAGGAACAGGCCAGGCACAGGCCTTATGCCCAGTCACTGCAGAGGACAGGGGTCCTCTTGCTGTGCTTGAATCCCCACACCCAGGGGCTACTCCCAAGCACTAGCAGGACGCAGGCTCCATGTCTACAGACTTCTTCTCTCTGCTGGGGGTAGGGCCCTTGCCTTGTGCCCTGCTGGAAGGCCTACACGTCCTGCTGCTGGGAACGCTGCTACCTATCTCTGCACTGGCTGCCCGCCTGGCCCTGCGGCACAGGTGCCCTGGACTCCCCTGCCATAAGGCTCTGGGGTGCACAGACGAGGCCTGTGCCCCACTGGGCTGTGGGCCCTTGAGCTGAGGCATGGTAGGATGTTCCTGGCAGGAGGTCAACCATGCCAGGCACCGCTGCCCGCCAGGTGGTTGGGCATACTCTGCTTCTGCCCTTTGCTGATGCCATATGCCTGTGACAAGCAGCAGGGTGAGGGGCCACCTCGGAGTACAGGGAGGTCACCAGTGACCTCCAGGCCAGCAGGGAGTGGGATGAGTGAGTGTGGCTCAGGCAGGGGACAGACATAGGCCTGACCTCGTCAGGAAGCCTGGCTGGGCAGCAGCCACTCACTGCCACGTGGAACCATGAGCCCCTATGTCCAGATTTCCAACCCTATCTGGCAGTTTCCAAAGAGAATCCAGAAATCCAAACCTTTTCAGAAGGAGGACGGTCATGGAATAGGCACATGTAGCAAGCCTGTGGCCACCCTGCCACCCCCCCACTGTGACACTGCCCTGAAGCCCTGGCCATGGCTCTATGAGGACCTCTCTGGGCCCTCTAGAGGGAGAAGCCTCCCAGCACCCTCTGCACCAACAGGAGAGGCCTCTTGGAGGTGTGGGACAGGGACACACCTCCCCAGCCACCTCCAGGTGCTCCCAATGGGTCCTGCTCTGGGTGTGTGGGTAACTGGACAGCCGGGAGGTACGCCCATGGGAAGGCCAGTGTGAATCCTGCTGCAGGTTGGCCCGGGGCTGGGGGTGGGGTTGGGTGCTGGGAACCCCACGGGCCACCACCATGCAGGAGCAGCACAGGGGTCTGACATCCCCCAGGGACCTTCGAGGGAGAGTGTCAGTTGGTCTTGTCTGCACGAGAACCTGTCAAGTGGGCAGCTGGGTTGGACGTCGCCTTCTGCCCGCCACCCACTGTGCAGGGCCTGTGCACCTGGAGGAAGGTGGCTGTGGCCTGGGCAAGGCCCTTTCCATCCTTGACACCCCAGCGGTCCCACAGCCACCTGACCTGGGCCAGGAGCTGCCAGAGCATAACCGCACCTGCCCTGCCTCCCACCTGGGGTGGAGCCCCAGGCCCAGGCTGTCCGCCTGCACTGCCCAGTGGACACCGTGCATGAGCCAGAACTCGGGCCCAGCAGCAGCAGTGGTGGCAAACACCTGCCCAGCTGGGGCAGACGGCGTGAACCAGGCATCACGGGCTGGAACCTCCTGGAGCAGCCTCCCTGTGCCTCCCCGATGGCCTCCCACAGGGGCTGATCCCTGCTCCCTCCCAAGGGAGGCTCACCTGTCCTTGGGGCCTTCTGTGATGGGCCCCAGGGCCATGCCCAGACCAGCCCTTCCCTGGCCTCCACACGGGACCCACCCGGTTCCCCGCTGGTGGCTCTGCGCCCAGCCACACTGCCCCTGCCCCGGCGCTGACCCCAAGGGGGTTCTTGAGTGGATTCTGGTTCTCTGTGGACCAGCCGGAAGTCGTCCTGTTCTGCTCTGTTCCTCCTGATCCCACTCCTGGCTCAGCTCTGGGTGCCCCGAGGGCTGCCAAGTGGACCCCCAAACTCCTGTACCCAGACCTCTTGGCAAAGGGGACAGAGCTCCAGGTACCTCCTGGATCAAAAATTCCACAGTGGGAAGAAGCAAGTCCATATCCGTGGGCTCTGGTGCAGGGCAAGGGCCCAGGGCCAGCCCGACGACCAGCAAGGGGACAAGGTGAGCCACCTGGGACTGCAGGAGGGTGCCGTGCCCCCTCCGCTCCCCCACTCACCTTGAGCGCATTATGGGAGGTGCCGCTGGGCCGCCTCCTGCCCCCGTCCTCCAGCTGCATCTCCGAGGACAGCTCCTCCTCATCTTCCTCCATGATGTCCGAGAGGTCGGAGCCCCGGCTGCTCTCCGTGGGGTACTCGTCTCCATGGCAACAGGGGGGCTGCAGGCCAGAGGGGGGTGCTGATGGGTGGACTCTCATGCCAGGACCCCTGCAGCGGGCCCAGGTCCCCTGTGGGCCCTCCCTCCTTTGTCACCTCTGTGGGGCTCACAGCTAGGGCCTGTAGGGGTTGGTGATGTGCTGCTCCTTAGAAGTGAGGGGTGAGGCTGGACGTGGTCAATGCAATGGCCAACAGTAAGTCTGACTTTCCCCTGGATCGTCACTGTTAAGCTGCTCCGAGGACGTCTAGTCCTGGGGTGGAGGGCCTGTGACCTCAGTCTACTCAGTAAGATGTAGTGGGAAGTCTCCTGGCCATCTATCCTTTCCTTCCTGCTTGGGGTGTCACCAAATGAGGGTGTAATTGATGGAGCTATGGCAGCTACTTGGTAACTACAGGAGAAAGATCAGGAGAGTGAAAGATCTAAGCAGAGCCCCTTTGCCACTGAGGCCACATCAGCCCTGCACCCGGCTGCACAGGCTCCCGGGACACAGAGTGATTAAAGGTCTGTGATCGTAGAAGTCTGGGCCTCCTGTTCCTTCTGCTTAAACGAATGCAAACAGCATGATTGTAAGGCTGTAGATAAAGACGTGAGATGAGAAGCCAGTGCCTGGCTGACGGCCAGCAGCGAGCAGCAAGGCTGGGCTGGGCACACGGTGCCCTGCTGCCCCCTCACTGTGGCAGTGGGTGGTCCTGGTGCCCCAGCCTCCGAGTGAGTGGGCTCTGGCACGGGGCCTTGGGGTTCTCAGGCCGTCGGCTATTCCAATCCTCCTGTCACCTGGGGCTGGCTTTTCGCACCTTTCAGGGAACCCTATTCAAGGCTGCGCGTCAGACGCTGGAGGTGAACCCCGATAGGCCCGGGGGTAGGGGTGGGGGGGCAAATGTTTTGTTTTTCATCCCCTATGGTGCCCAGCACGGAGCAGGTGTCCAGCCAACATGGCCCAATGGTCAGAAATGAACATAAACAGTAGGGTTTGTCTAAATCGAGACCAGCTGGGTACCAGTCCAGCCCTGGCCTGACCCAGGAAACTGCCCAGGACCAGGTTCCAGCACTGGGTGGGGCAGGGTAGGGCCTGGGCGAGGAGCAGGGGTGGGGCGGAGCAGGGTGGGTGGAGGGGAGGGACGGGGCAGGGCCGGGCCTCCTATTCAGGCTTTTGAAATTGTCCTGGAACGAGTTGTCCTCACTCAAACCCTGGTGGCCTGCTGCCTTGCAGGCTGGCATGGCCCCTTTCCCGGGGGGCCGTAGGGCAGGTCCCCAGTCCCTGACATCCCCAGCAGCTGCCCGGGCTCACCGGCTTGCCCAGCTCTGAGCCCTTGAGGAAGTCGTCCACGGAGGCGCCTCTCCGCTTGAGCTCGGGGGAGGCGAAGCCGTCCTCCTCGTCGGAGCTGGCACAGCGCCCCAGGCTGCTCCGCTCAGGGAGGAGGCTCCTTTTCTCTAGCTTGGAAAGAGAAGGGGACAAAGATGGGCTGGGGCTGTCATGAGGGCTGGACCCAGTGATTAAAGTTGTCCAAGGCGGCTTCTGTGTCATGTGGGTGCCTCCCAGGGACACGCCTTCCATGCCGCATACCCTGTAGCCACCCAAAGACAAACCCACCAAGGACCTGGGCCAACCACCCCAAAGCTGCTGCAGGGTCCACTTCTTGGTGTCTCCCCCAAGGACCTAGCTGGCCCCAGAGTCATCTCTCCCTCTGCTGGGGCGACTGCACCCAACAAGGACCCTCCACCCTCCTCTGGTCACCCTGCTGGCCTTATTGTGACCCGCGGGCGCATTCGGAAGGCAGGAGCCTAGAGTTGTTGCCCGCCCATGGACCCAGCTGCTGAGCTCCCCTGGGCCTCTCGGGCTGGGCTGAGGCTGCTGCACTGGCACTGCCCCCAGGAGCCTGGCCCAAAGCTCCCGTCAGGTGGCTCTTGCGCCCGGTGCCCCGAGGACGCCCTCCCCTCCGCAGCCGTAGAACACTCAGGAGTGTCCCCAGGACAGTCTGGATTCCTGTGCTCTCCCAGCTAAGGCACCGGTGGGGGGCCTTTGCCCTCAGGCTGCCTCTGGGCGCTGTGCCCTGGAAGTGAGCTCCCTGGCTCACCTTCAATGCTTGGCGCTGACCTGGGGACTGGCCCTTCCTGGGCTCTCTGACCTGGGGCCGCCCAGAGGTGGGCTACAGGGGTGTGTCCCACCACAGGCACCAACACCCAGGGTCACATAGGCCCACCTGGCAATGCCGAGGCCTGCCCATGGCCCCCCTTCCTCCTTGAAAGAGAAAGTGGGGATCACCCCAAACACTGGGACTCTGGTAGGTGGTGCCTGGGAGAGGTGGCTGCCACCTGAGGTCATGTGTCCTGGTGCACATCATGTGGAACACGGACCAGCCACAGCCCAGTACCCCGTGGCCCAGACTACACCTAGAGGTGCAAGCAAATGTGCCCACGCACAGGTGCATCCATGTGCCTGTCCACTGGGCATGCAGACACACACCCGTGTGGAGCCCACACACTTATAGGTATGTGCACACACGCACACACACCTGGGACTCTGAAGTGGTCAAGACCAGGGAGCACCCAGTTGGACAACAGGGCCCCAGCTGTGTCCAGCGAGCAGTCGAAGCCCCTAACCCAGAACCAAGCCTGTCTGGGTTTGTCAGAGGCTCTTTATCGGACAGACAGGCGCCTGGCACCTGGTGATCCATGGCTACACTGTAACACACTGTGACTGAGGATCAGGCACAGATGCCCGGAGGCTGACGGGGCAGGGTAGGGCCTGGGCGAGGAGCAGGGGTGGGGCTCCTGCACCTGTGGCCAGGCTCTGGGTGCTCCTGGCCTCGCTGTCTCTGCCTGCAGTCTGGACGAAATGCACTTCGGGAGCAGAGGGACAAGCCAGCAGACCCCACTTACCCTGCTGCTCTCGGCCACCCTCTGCGCAGCCTCACGGGCCATGGCCTTGGCAACAGTGGTGGACACCGGGGCCCCCTGCGGCTGCGGGAGGATGCGGCTGGGAGAAGGCGACCTCCGCCCAGGGCCGGAGCCTTGCAGGTCAGGCGGCTCCAGCATGTGCCCGTGCACCGGGGCAGGGGCGCGACTCTGCTCCCAGGACTCCTCCACCTTGGTGTGGGGACACAGGGGCTTGTCTTTGGTGTCGGGAGCACTTAGTAATGGCTTCGGTGGGGGCGTAGCTCTTGGGTGGGGGGTTGGAGGCACCAGGAGGTCGAGGGGGATGGCAGCAAACACAGAGTCCACGGACTCGCCCTGGGCA